CCTTAGATATACATCAACATGCACCTCTCTGCGTCCGATATCGTTTTCAATCGTTGTTTTGCCATTTTCAAGGGTATTTTGGTGTCTTGTTGCTTTTGTACTAATAATAATTCAAATATTGATCAGCAAAACTGAGGGGTCATTCTGACAATAACTTATATACCAAAACTTGCCACAAGTTTTGATCGTTTGCGATCACAGCTTTTTGTTTGGTGATTTATTGTGTGAGTACATGGCGTAAAGCCAATGAGAAACTCTTTCTCACAGGAGTTGTCAGTCGGCACTGGGTTCAGAATTTATCAAAAATCCCCCCCAACTCCTTAATTTAAGTCGTGTTGTCCCAGAATGGCATCTCAGCAACAGCGCCCTGAAGGGGTATCAAATAGTTTTTTTCTCGGTGTCTTCTCTCCTAAATATCCAACCGTCGGCTGGGTGAACAAATAGAGCAACCAGCTTCAGTAAACCGTTCGGAGAAGGATTTATCAGGTTAAAGTCGGCGAAGGCATTATAATAAAAAAGGGGGAAAAAAAGATGAATTAGGCCTAGTGTGACCGAAATGTTAGCTTTCGAATCGTAGGCGGCTTCACGTTCGACACAGGTACACTATTCTTCTGCTGTCAAAAAAAATGTTTGTTCACAGAAGACTTGTCTTCACTCCCAAACAAAGCCTAAATGCACGGTTTGCAAAAAGCTTGAATTTTTGTTCTAATGAAACCCACGATTTTTTACAAGGCCTCCACATTCTGTGTGTTGTCAATAGCATATTAATTATAAATTGGGCGTGCACCTGATTGATATAAATAGGAGAACATGCCACGCTTCTACTCTTTAGAATGGAGAGAGAGAAAACGTGAAGAGTTACAGTGTAACCTTCAGTGTGGATGCACATAGTGTCGTCGTAGTCTACACGCCAAGCGTTACCCCGTCACACGCTACCGGAATAACGCGCCCCACTAACACTTTGTACTAGCACTACAAGAAGAACTGACCTAGATATCCAACAGACTCACTCAGACAGGATTAGCTTGACAAAATCTTAATTCCAATTACAAGTTTTGCCCTTACCCAAGGTATATTCCTAAACACTGTACACCGGTACTCAGTGCTTGTCCGCGAGCCTGCAAAAAAATCACAAGCTCACTCGCGTGGGACTCGAACCCACGAGCTCCTGCTTACTAGTGCAGACGTCTTAACCACTCCACCACTGACCGAGCTCGTGGGGGGGGGGGGAAGTCTGCTGGCCGGCCCTAGTCAGATGAAGCAGGGTCTACCGCAAAATAATTTCGAACACGCTAAATAATATTGAGTGCACGCAATGCGTTGTTTCCAAGAGCACGAAATATTGTATTTCGAGTGCACTAAATGATTTCAAGCGCACGAAATGAAGAACTCAGTTAATTCTGTGAACATTTTATGAGTTTGTTTCCATCATACGTCCCTTTAAGGGCTCCGTGATAAATCACCATATTGAGTACTTGTTCCCAGTTGCCGATCGTTATGTATTTGTTTCGCTTGGATCGTCCGCCCATGAAACAATTGCCTCTGAAAGGCTGCGTCGTCTCTATGGGATCAACAATGAAGAACAAATATTCAACACAATGAGAACAGGCTGTCGTCTGAGCTAGGGGAAAATCTATAATTTGCATGTCATTCAGAGTTCATTTTCACAGGTGAGCTCGTCATAATTTAGTGTGATTTCATTATTTGAATATGACGATGGTTTGCATCTTGCTGGGTACGAGTGAGTTTTGTAACCAGGGTGGCGTGAGTTCATTGTCAAGCACGCTGCGTTCCAGCCGTGTTGGCGCCTCACTATTGACTTTCCTATTGCTGAACTGAGGTCCATCGTACTCTCGTCTAGAATTTTACCCAGAGAACTTTCTAAGCGACCATGAACTTCCAAAGAACGAGTGATAAAAACCATGTCTGACTAAAGCCTTAAGATTTGACCCGTCTTCTGTACACATCCGGACCTTCACTTTATACGGAGTACAAACATGTTTGTTTGATGTACTCGGGCAAATGTTTAACTGTTTAAGAAACGAGTTTCGTTGAAGAAATATTTGAGTAAGCTGATCTGCTATGAAATCTTATTTCGACGTACTCTACATACTTTGGGTACAAACACAGCTGTTTTGAAGGTCAGGATTCGACTGCTGAACCAGTGTTGTACTCTCAAGGACAAAAAAATTTTTATTCCGTGCTCTATATATAAAAAACACCCTTCACATTTCAGGAGACAAATGGAAAAGTTTGCTTTAGCCCTGATGGACGACACGTCAAAGAAACTCCCTGTTGTGCCAGGGATGAGCGTACTTCCAACCAGGACCTTTTGAAGTTGTTTTGAAACGGTGTGGTGTTGGCGGACTGAAGACTGAAGAAAGGAAAACCTCCACGATTGAGGATATAATTATGTCACGCAATCGAAGTACACTCAAGCAATGTATGTGAGCTTAAGAATGTAACTGCATATTTGTCAAAATCAAGTGCCCAAAGGGTGTATGGCTTGGCCCGTTTAGAACAACCTAACAGTGACTTTCAACGTATGAAACAGATAAAGTGGGTCTCCATTGACAGTTGATGCTCACTCTATTTTGCCGTTGTAACCAGTCTAAGGACTCTTCACTCTCTACATGCACTCTGTACTATTTGCTTCCCAAGTATTTTTGTTTACTTGCACAATACAGTCATCACCCACAAGTTAATAATCAATACCCACATACAGTTTCGAAAACTTCCAACGAGGAGCATCTTTTATCGATCATATAAGCCGCCTGACCTTACGCACTATCGCCACTCTACATTGTTTTGATCCCATTTGCTTCATATGCCAATCGGTGTTTACTTTTTGTGATTCGCAATCCTGTCTGTAGTTAATTCCACCTTTTCCCTCGCTGTCCCATGGTCCCCGCCCTGTTTTTGTTGAAATACATTTACTGTATCACAAAGAAGAGATCGAAGCCCCGAATTTCGATTTACAACCGAAATCAAAAGATATTTTAAAAAGACAGTGTTTGCTCACTAGAAACATTCGTCACAAAATACGAAATGTCAGGTGTGTTACTAATTTGGATTTGGATGTTCGAAGTTCGGTTGGAAGTTGTGTAGACCAGACATGATACAAATGAAATTGTCTTTTAGCAATCATTGATCTATTTCTGTTCGTGCTGCAAATATAAAATGATGCGAGAACAGCCGTTTTAATATGCAATTTTATCTTTTGAATATTTGCTTGTTTGAATGATCTTTGGTTTTTAACCTGTTAATGTCTGTTTATGTATATTTTTATTTTTGTATGTGTGTCTTTGTGATATTTTGTCTAAATGCTTGTCTTTTGATTTGTCATGAGACTAAATGCCTGTGGGCAACAGGGATTAAGTTCACGTTTTCACTTTTTTGTCATCTTGTGTTTTGCTTATTTTTTTATGATGGTAAATAAATAATAATATTAACAAATAATAATAAAGATAATAACTACTAAAGTAAAGATTCTAAATTGATAGCAATGGCCTGATTATGGCAGCATTATCCATTGAATTATAAATTTTTAATGGATTTACACACGCTTAAAACAACCAGTCAAAATGTCGACTGATTTTCCGAGTTGTTCAAATTTGACTACGGAGTCAGTCAAACACCCACGGTTACGTTGGCAAATGATGCTTTCTGACAAGATTCGTATTTGATGCCTTTTAAAATTCAAAGAAATGACTGAAAAAATGTAGTCGGGGTCGATTAATTTTCAGTTGCACCAAGCTGACCCTGAAGAACTAGTCAAATTTTACTGAATTCTAGTCAAATTTGCCTGAACCTGTTCAGAGCAAAGTGCTACCACCAAGGTACAACGTCAACTCTGGTTTACCTTGCTAGTGGATAGCTTTTTGTGTAGCGTTCGACCTCGTTCTTTTTTGGCGTTGTTTATTCATAAAGTTTGTACCCTATTTGTTTCTTTATGTTGGAAATGAAACTGCATGCTTGGTAATCCACAATCCAAGCACCTTCTTTCTTGGGCACCCACCGTGGTCGCTTGTACTTTTTCAGGGAGTTGGACCTGTTCCGTAACTTTGGTCCAGGCTTAGTTGTGCACGCCCTACAACTTCGTTTCCTCTAGTTCCCCGTGAGGTTTGAAACGTCTGTGTGCTCCACTGTAGGGCGCGTGTGTCATGTCCGTTCAATTTCACCTTGTACTTTTTGCGTGATACTGGCCCCCTTCTTCGGTTGGCGAAACAAAAGATTTGTCTCAATACAAATCACTATTTTTGTGAGAGTATTTTTTCCCCCAGAAATGCAGGGTTATTCGAACCTAATGAAAAGTGGATAGAGATAAGAGAGGTCTAACCGAAAAGAGGACAAGATCTGGGGAAGAGCTTGATAAGACGCTGTCTTGAAAGGATTCGTAAGCCTATGGAACGTCAACAATTTTAATACGTAGGCATAAAAAGGGCACTTTAGCCTAAGTATATACTTGAGTATTGTGTAAGAAACGCATACTTATTGGATGAACAGTGTTTCATCTCACTTTGTCTATGCACTGAACTTTGCTTTTGCCCTGGTCGCGGATTTTTTTCTTACTTCTTTTACGTCTTACCGTCCCCATGACAGCATAACAAACATTGATACCAAGTTCGACCGACATTTTAAGTTTGACCAATGGTCTGAACGGGCAAGTCACTCTTTGAGATAACCTGCAATTAGATTTTTCGAATGTACATTTTCTTGAATATCGTAATGAGCTTGTGTCTGCTGTTATGTTATTTTTAATTTTAAAAATCTAAGATCGGTGAGTTAACAAATAATACAGTGGATTAAGGCTGTGCTTTCATCTTTGTCTCATCCCACCTCATATCTGTCCCTTGAGGTGATTTATCTATCCACATGTTATGAGCGCAGAGTTTGCAGAGAGGCAATATTATTGGGGCCCCTGGCCCGAACGCTGGCAAGTCGAACCATGGTCTAACTTTACTCGGTTAAAGTCTTCTTAGCTCTCTGATTAGCCAACTCGTAATCAACACAAGTCGCAGTCTGAGCTGAACCTTCACCGCTTTGTGGGTGAACCGATTAGGAAGGGAATGCAGCTGTACTTAACAGTCCGTGGAGGGAGGTCTGGATGTGATTTAATTGGCGGACAGCAGCTTCTTACAGCGTGCTCGGGGAGTTTGGCCAGATTTATTGATCTTCTGAGAGAAACACGGGGTCCTTGCTTACCGTCTGAATGCCATATTTATTATGTAAGAATCAAATAAGACAAACAAATCTACTGCTACTGATTCTAGAGAAAAGGTTTCATCAACCCGCGTAGATGAAATGAATTTTATACAACAAAAAGGCGGAAAATGAATGGCAAAAAATTCTCTTTTCTTCTGGTCTGACGGGGTGCCACAATTATTCTTATAGTGTACCTTACCGAAGAAACGTCTGTAGTAAGTAAGGGCCAGTATGGTGGGCAATAGTACAGTTTGGGGTGCGTGATAGGCACAAGTTTGCAATAGTACATTTAGGGGTGAGTGTACTTTCTTTGGTGTTTGCACGGTTTGAGAGACGATATGAAGGCCACGTACTTGCCTGCTTGCCGTTACTGAACGACGCATGTGTACTCGGTCATATAATCACTGCACAGTTCCTGGAGTCGCTACCAACATGAGAAAGGTTTTGCGCACTTACTCACCCCAGGTGTATTAGCTTCCATGTGATTGGTAGTCTCTCTGGTTCATTTGCATAAGTGTTTGTTCCAGTAGACTATTAATGAACCAATCATGTGCAAGCACGGCAAGTCCTTGATGGTAACTGATAGTGATTGAAACTCAGGGTTAACGAGCAAGAGGTCTCCGAAAGTATAAAAACTGGTACAATTTTTGGAATAAACAGAAACCGTTTTTGTCAGAACCTGCAATTAATTCTTAGCGAGTACAGCTGTACATTTTACCCAAGGCAAGTTCCGTAGTTTACAAATTGGTAAGCAGCAGACATCTCAAAGTGCACTCTGCCTGCCAGTAACACGGTATTATCACAAACTTCGAATCACACGAGCGCAAATTCCCTCTTTCGTATAGTTTTGCCAAATAGCAGACATGGTGTTGGTTGATCTTGTCGTATTTTGGGTCGTTCTTCTTTCTGTTAACATTTTTTTAAGCTGGAGGGCAAGAAGCCGTTTAAACCTACCCCCCAGACCACCATCTATCCCTCTTCTTGGTAATTTCTATGTTTTCATGAGCAACCGGCCAATCTATAAGGTCTTCAAGGAGCTAGCAGATAAGTATGGAAGCATTTTCTCACTGAAGCTGCCCATGGGTCGCTTTGTGGTCCTGTCCGAGGTGGATGTCATACGGGAGGCCTTTCTGCATCGCTCGGAAGATTTCTCGGGCCGACCCTACATGTACTCTGTCAGCCTTATGACTCGCAATAATTGTGGCATAGCTTTCAGTGACTACAGTCCATCCTGGCGCATGCACAGACGAACAACAGCACTCGCAATCCGGAGGAACATGAAAGGGTACAACTGCATGCCGACCTCGGCTAAGATTCAAGAAGAAGTCGCACAATTGAATAAGTTACTGTCCAAGAAAGATGGCATGTACACTGACATCAGTACGGAGTTGAATCTGTCTGTCCTTAATGTCATTTGTGACATGACATTCGGACAGCGTTATGAAATCACGGACACAGATTATCAGCAGATGCTGGATTGCAACAGTAAGTTTTCAGCAGTCTTGGAGCCCGGAGATCCCATAGACATCATTCCAGCCCTCAAGGTAACCAACTTTTCTTGAATTTATAATTCCTGCTTATCCCTGTTTATTACCAGATTTCCCTCGTGCACTGGCAGATCCAAGATAGTTTACTGGGGGATTATTGTTCGCACATTTAATTCTTTGTTTTGCCTTTTACCGTACTTGCAAAATAAGATAGATGTATAATTATGATAATAATAATAATAGATTTTCCAACCTTGAGACGTAGGCCCCTAAAAGGAAAAAGGCAATGAGCAGGAGGGGTTTGACCCTCCGCTCCTATGGCCTCATCTTATTGTTCACTTTGAACAGCTTCTTTTCTGGCGATACCAGTTTTTAATTTTACAATTACTTTGTATGTGAACGAGGTTGTTCGAGATGCACGGCAGAAAGTATGTCCATTGTTTCCCATGAGGCTTTATGTAGAAGAGGCCTCATGAGGATTCAAAAAAGGCACTGAAAGTTACTTCTCTTTATAGAAATTCTTAGAGGCTTGATTTCAAAGAATAACAGAAATTGAAAACATTTAGTTCGCCTGAAGTATTTCAAAATAACAATAAATACGGTACCATTTCAGAAACATCGTAAATTCAATATTTACCCCATTAATTGTGACCCCAAAATGAATGAAAAAGATCCTGCGTTTCCCCGCCCACAAAAAGAATCCCCTTTTCGGCCGTTGGCACCCCCAGGCTGATTGGATGAACTTCATCGCCAGAACGCTGACACATGCAGTGTGCATGTTTCTGCACATTGCGCACAGTACACGCAGTCTAGCACGCTCGCAATAGACCACGTTGTATTTGATGTAGCTTGGCCCACAGGCAAACACTATTTCAATTCAAAGTAGAAATTAAAAGACACACTCCTACCGTTCATTGTGCGGTCACAATTAATGGGGTAAACATTGACCGTACGATTTTTTGAAATGGTGACGTATTTATTGTTATTTTGAAATACTTCACGTGAACTAAACGTTTCCAATTTCTGTTACCCTTTAAAATAGCAATACCATCGAACTTGGAATACATCTCTGACACAACACGACAGCATTGCATATAAAACTGTAGTATAACATATCTTAGTTACATAGTACATACATTAACCCAAAATGTTACTTTCAAAAGTTCAAAGAAATTAAGTATAACTTTTGCACTGGTTAGCCCAACAAGAGTGTAAAAGAAACCTTGTTAGCTAGCCCTGGAAATATTCAAAGCCTTTTGTAAATGCTATAAATATTATTTCATTGAATTTAACTTGAATGCAGATAGTGGAGGGAATATCATTCACTTCATAAGTGAAAAATACAACTTAAAAATCCCGATTTTGTAAGCTGCGTAATACGTCACAGGATACAGAATGGATGACAGCTGTAATTGTTCTCGTGTGTGAATAACGACAGGCTATCTGGGTTTGTATGGATGGCACAATTGATGTTAGTAAAAGGCGTACCGCTTCACAGAGTTGGACAATGCTCCATTCTTCACTACACTCAGTTCCTGACGATGTTAAAAGTGCAGTGGTATCTCACTCCATCAACGGTGTATTGACTACCAACAATGTCGATTGTGTTAGAGCAGCCTTGATATGTGTATTGTCCTCAAGAAGTTTGGGGAACTTAAGCAAGTCTACAACATGATGAATAGCATTTACATAATTTTAATTTTTCAATTAATTCTGAGCGACCTGTCAAGCTACTACCAAATTTAATGTCGCCGCTTGTAGACAACACATGGAGCAGTGACTTTCATCTACATTTACACCCCTCTGTGTAGGTCTTAAAGGGCGTTCAACTGTTAGTGTTGTATTTAAATCAGTAAAACCTATTCAATCTGTAAAGTTTGTTTATTGATACGACAATATTCATGACCATTCCGTGATTCTGGATATTCCCATGCCACAAAGGACTTCATAATGTGTGCTTTACACTCAGACAAGTACTGTACATTATCTCAAACGACTACACGTGCTTTCATTGGGGTTATACACCGAGGAAAACGCCCCCTCTTGAACTTTACCCTTGACGTTTCACGACCAATATTGACTGTAACACCAAAATCTCTTCAAAACCCGGTCACACACTTGATTTCTGAAAAGTTGGCTGGCAGACAAGTGTGTAGGTCAACTTGTCGACTGGAGATAGTCAGCTATTCTAATAACTTTGCCCTTAAAGTTTGCCTACACTGCTTTCGAGGCAATGCCAAATAAAAGGAGATCTTACTTGGGTTTTTCATTAGTGGGTGTTTATTAAAGGCGAGTCAAACGGTGGCATTTATTGAGTAAACTTTGTGTCAGTGCTAAAATTCCGCCATATGAAAATTATTTACCGTGGAAAACCCACACAAGTAACTCCACTGTCAGTACAAACTTGATTGTCATCACCCACTGAGCGAAAAACAGAACATAAAATAACGACGGAACCAAAAGCACTTTAAACATTTAATACATGTAAAACATAAATACTTTACAATGCATTTACCCATATGCGATTGTTTCAGAACAAAAAGCACTTTTGGGGTTATTTGAAGCATCGAGGAAAGGCCTTAGGCCTTCAGGCTGCTGTCGTAAGTTCAATGGCAAAAACGATTTGTTGGAAATGGTGAATTGTTATGGATATTTCTTCATGGACAAGCTTTTGCTCATTCGTTTCTTTTATTTGTATTGCAAATTTATGCAAAAGATTAACCGCATGGTCTATTGTCAAAGAATAATTGTTGTCATTTCCATGCAACTTCCTCTCAGGTTCTTGCGGTACATTATCTAAGAGATATTTTACTGGAAAAGATTATGTTTGATTATGAGGGCTAGACTACAAATCATATTCTTTTATACATTTGCCGTCTATATTGTTTGTATCAAGTTCAACGCCATTCATCTCAGTGATGGCCTCAATCTGAATATTCGCTACAGTGAAGAATAACCTTCACATCAAAAGGAACATTTAAGATAAACCTCGACCCACATAACAACAATCTGGGCTAAAAAGCATGATCGCAGGCAAAGCCATCGGAAGGCCGGCTGTTTTTGTGATTATGTAAAGACAGGTGGAGCTAATCTCTTTACAGGGCTTGAGGTTCAACTAGGGTATAGTTAAGGACTGTTGCATATATACCTAGATAGGACAAGCCATCGAATATCACAGACAGGTTAAACCACGCTCTTGTAGAAGTCTCAGTAAAGCTGAAAATATGGCCCAAGTAATGTAGACATAATTGATCTCGGACGGTTTTAACAATTCCTTATCCACTTAACAAGTCTAAGAAAACATAAACTTGTTCAAAATCTTCTTGAACACTTGGAGCAAATGAATGGTCAAATTTAACTAGATAAGATTCGACATAAAATGGGAAAATGAAGCTAAGACTTTTGCCTCTGGTTGAAACCTATGACTAAGACTTGAATCCAAGTTTCACACAAGAGGAATTTCTTTTGGATAACAGATTGTCATGCTTTCTGTTTGTACCTTTTCTCAGTTTGACAAGCTTGAGACATTCCTGTCTGTTTATTAAGGGGAACTGTGAAATCTGTGTTGGTAAATCCAAGAATTAATATATATAACCTTTTAAATTACCTTTTATGAGGGAGATTTTGTTTTGCTTTGTTTTTGTCTGTTTTTAATTACATGTAATATTAAATCTTCTTCTGCTTTTTCCTCTTCTTATTCTTATTATTACGCTTATCGAATGACAGATATTTCCAAGCAAGAAACTCCGAATCGTCCAAGAGATCATCAAGACACGTGACTCCATCCTGCAAAAAAAATACGACGAACACTTCCGTACCTTCGACTCCAACAACATCCGGGACTTGACCGACGCCTTCATAGACACCATGCTTGAAAGCAATAATGACGATTGCGAAAGCGTACTCACCGAAGATCACGTTGTCATGGCAATGTGGGAGCTCTTTGTTGGAGGCTACGAAGCCACGTACAAATCACTGATGTGGGCAATAATCTACATATTAAACAATCCAGAGGTAAATGATAAGACATTTTTTTTATTAACATTATCATCTTTTTTGGCTTCAAATTCTTTACAAATTTAGCAATGATACAACCCACAAACTCTACTGTGAATGAACTGATTTTGGGAGCTTAATGTTGGTGTGGTCCTCTGATAACACCGGGGGTATTAAATTTAACACTCGAATTTTGGCAGTGCATGCTCAGTAGCACATTTTAATAAGAACAATTATCAGTTATAGGTAAGGCCAGGTTAAGATCTAGAATATTTTGGATGCAGATATAATTACTGCGACATGTGCAAATCTTGCGTTTTATTGTACGCCTGATGAATTAATTCTGACATCCCAAATGTAAAATAAAACACCTGTCGTCTTAACTCTTCCTTTGTTAAAATTTCCTTAATAAGGTGCAAGATCAGATTCAACATGAATTAGATGAGAACATTGGGACACGTTTGCCTTTGTGGGATGACCGTCATGAGCTTCCGTACCTGGAGGCGACCATATTAGAGACATTACGTTGCAGTTCTTTCTCTTCGATGAATGGACCAAGGAGGACAAGATGTGATACCAAGTAGGTCCAAACACATTTGGCCAAATATGCACTGGCATATATCGTGAAATCACATTAGCCTTTCAACATTTACTGAATCGAATACCCAGACGTTACAGACTAGACACGAAAAGCGTAGGGCAAGCTTTGTCATCGTCTTCAAATAAATAGGTCTTCCTGCAAAGGACATGGATGAAAAGTGGGCTTGGAATAATTGAACATCTCTCTTTGTAAAACGATTTTTAGTACCGTGCAAATGCTACCAACACACTCTTTATTCTCTACTAAGTTAATGTCGTCCTTGTCTTTGACAGGGTGCAAGGATATGACATACCCAAGGACTCAACAGTCTTTTGTAACCTGTGGTGGGTTCATCACAATCCTAAATATTGGAAGCATCCAATGAGCTTTCGGCCAGGTGAGTCTAAGATGATGATAGCACTTTTGGCAATAGTTTCATTTGCGATTCCTACCGCTTTCCGTTCTTCATCAAAACTGTGAACTGGCCTCATAATTGTAACAAACAGTTGGAAAAGGGCAGGTAACGTTAAATGACTCGCTTACAACCACTGTCACGTGTGAAGATAACAAACACACACATAACAAACACAAAAGAGGTAATCCACATGGCGTCTCCGCAAATCTCCTACCGATTGTAGATCCACCATGCAAACCTTCAAGCATTATGACTTCCCCTTATGGAGAGTAGATCTCATCCACGGTCAAGAGGTGTGAGCGCCTCTCCATCAAGCATTCAAGATTCATCTACAATTTGACCTTCCTTAAGCGCTGCCGTGATTCCAACATCGTGCCACTCGGTCTTCGTCTCCGCGATCCTGTCCCCAATAACAAGTCGCAATGAAGCAAGCACTCAAGTTGGAATCCAGCAGTCTCCTGACGACGGACAGAGCTCTCACTGTCCAAAACGTAGAGTACGGGATCTTTTCAGAGTCACACATACAAAAACGATACTCCACATGGTGTCTCCGCAAACCTCCTACCCAAACACAAATCTCTATTCTAGCCCCCCCGACTACAATTTATTTGTGCCTTTCGGTCACACTAAAATCTTGCCATGCAAAATGGAGGTAAGCAACATGGGCGAAGCAAGGGGCGCTTCCCACGAAATAAAATGCGAAAGGGATGAGTTACATGATTGAAGGGGGTGAAAATCAAGAAAGTGACCCTCTTTCACCCTTCAGTTCGTTGCTAATAAGCGCCTTGCCCCTCCCTCCCCTGGAAATATGCTTGCGACACTCATGGTTAGTATCGTCCTTTTGAATAAACATTTATCAGGAAGAAAGGCAAATTATGTCAACTGCCAACCATTAAACCCAACGTCTAAGTCGTCGTTGTTTTCGTGGTTTTTTTTTTAATCGTGAAAGACTTTTTTCAAAGATTTCTCAGCAATAATATCATGACCATTACATAATGTTTATCACAGCAGTTGCAAGTATCTTACATTAATTTGATAGCTGTTTCTCAACCTAATCACCTGCCACATGTGACACTTCATCATTCATTTTTCTTCCTCCCTTCCTAGAGCGCTTCCTAGACGAGGATGGCAAAGTTTTCACTCCTAAGAGTTTCATGGCATTTTCCATCGGCCGCCGAGCTTGCCTTGGGGAGAACCTGGCCAAGATGGAGCTGTTCATGTTCCTGGGGGGCATCCTGCAGCGCTTCCAGCTGAAGACACCCGCTGGGGAGAAACTCCCCGACACGGAGCCCATGCCAGACATGATGAGATCACCAAACCTCTTCAAAGTTCAGATTACTAGCCGTTGAAGAACTCCCAATACTAAAGACGGCTATTGGATGCGATAATAAAGGAACGTTTTATACATTTTTTAAAAATTACACGGAATAGTCATTTGGTGAATTAATCAGTAGATTTAATTTTCAAGGCGAAATTATGCCTGCAGAGGTCAAAATGATCAAACACAGAAGGCAGCGATATAAGAAATGGTGAAAAGATGATAATGGTTAATCTTATCAGTCCATTTAATGATGATTATAAGTAAACGATGGGAGTAAAACTGATGTGAATAGGATGCATGAAAAGATTTTTACAGAGATCCTCTAGGACAAGGATCCATTTGTTGGAAACGTTCCATGCAGTATGCCTCTCTAACAAAAGTTAATTAATCTTAATGTCTTTGGAGGTAACTTGCCTGCTACAGAAAAATTCAACACTTAATATAAATATTTTGTACATAAAAGTCATCACAATGTATATGGTTTTTAATTTACTTAATTTTTCTGCCGAAAGAACAATTATTTTGGTATGTATGGTTTGGCTTATTTTGTACATACAAAGAGATATGATACTAACTGTAGCAATGTATGTCTTGTTGAGATTTTCTGGAACACATGCATTTTGATTTAAATTGCTGAATTTCTTTGCAGTAGTATTCAACAGAGAATCTATTTTTAATCACTCAGTATTGCCTGGTTATCCCTGATGCTTCTTTTGTCATTGGTTAGAGTTAAGACGTTTCGTGAAATATGAGGCAAACTAAGTGGAATTCAGGATATAAATGCAAGAGTGAAAACTCCCCCCACAAAAAAATAAACAAACAAACACACTGTGAGCCTCGTATAAAACCATCCAAAAGAGTAGGAATGAAACTAAAGAAGGAGTGAAATCCAATCCAAACTAAGTGAAAAAAGTGAAAACCACTCTCAAAAGAATGAACATTTCAAAGGAGTGAAATTGCCACTCTGCCAAGGAGCCATATGAAGGAAAACTCATAAAAGAGTTGTCGTTTATGCTCCTGTTCTGAGTAAGTTTCACTCTTCTGGAGTGGTTTTTTCTCTTTTGAAAGAGGCTTTCAGTCTTGTTGAGTGGATTTAAAGGGACTCCTTCTTTTTGAGAGTAAGAATTCACTCTTTTGTCTTTAGGGAGATAAAACTATCTATTACTTTCATGAGTATCAAACGGTCAATCAAAAAAGATGGTGAAATAGCAATATATGTTCCAGGTTCCTGGAATAACATTACGTTCATCAAAACTGGATCTTTTCTAGATGTCAGCCGATATGTCGTCGTTATTTCAGAATGTACCCTCTTGTCACTAGAGCTAAGGAGGCTCTAAGAATCTTCAGCGCTAAGAAGCTCCATAAGAATTTTCACAGGTGAAGGCTTTGATGCCATCTGATTATTTTCATCGATGGGAGTATTATGTACCGGTATAGGGCCTACTGTCAGTATAAAGACTCAGGTTTCCACTAAGCACTTACAAGGCATCGGAACAAAATGATTTTCCTTGCCTACGATATTCCTTTGAGAACTTTTGGTACTGAGTCACATAACAAACGGAATATATATGGAAACTTAATGAGGACACAACCAAGAACCATTCATACAATGGAAATACCTTTTAATTGTTTCCTGTGTACTTTTCTGCCGTATTCGTGACTTTGTAGGCACCCAAATTTTTATAGATGCTGAAAAAATGCTTACATACAAGGTTTGGAGGAAATTAGAACAAGGCTGAACCGTTGAGGGCACATGATAAATTGATATTTTTTCTTTAAATTTGTTGACTGCATTTCTGTATTACTTTGAGTTCGTTTTCTGTACACGTGCACTAGTTTATTTTAAAAGTTTTTCTTTAATAACTACTTTTTACATAAATCTAAACTTCAAAGATAGACACCAAAAGTGATTCGTAACACAAATGAAGTTATTTGTTGTGAATTTATGTTTCTGTTATGTGGCTGTTTTGACTGTTTTGAGATAGTAACACTTTTTGACACATGTCAAGCATTTTATATTGAAATGTCATGCCCTTCCCTGAGAAATATTGAACAGGACTTTGCCAGAACTAGCACTTGACGAATATTGAACTGGCACTTGGACCCAAGAATAGAAAATTTCAAATTTGTTGTACTTAACTGCATTAAACTTTGGAAAGCAACATAATAAGGAATAGAGCAATATTAGGACAAAAAATTTATTTTTTCATTTCAGTCTTATTTCCGAATTAGAAGTATCTGATAAAGAAAATTCTTATCGTGTATTTAATCTTTCTGAGATCATTTCAGAAATGTCTACATGCATCCATAAATAGCTTGTTAAATGCTTAACCATATGTAATACTAATTTGTAGTTTTTTAAACGGTCGAGCTATGATGTTCACGTGTGATACATATACTACCAATGTATTTTATGAGCACGAAAAGCTTCTTGGAGACTCACATGTGGCCTTTCACAACATCGGATCCTTCCGTCTCCCCTGAGGTACTCAGGGGAGACGGAAGGGTATTGTACGACAAGTGCCCCCTACGTTCAACCTGTTCTCATTCAGTACTGTGCAGCGATGGCGTGCACATCCTTTGTTTCTTAACTGCGTTGAATATGGACCACGATCCACGAACAGCCGGCAATAATTTTTATTGATAATTTATTAATTTCAAATGCGACTCGGAGTGTTTAAACCCATATGACATATTTCTTATATGGGACTTGTATCAGAAAAGTTAATTTTTCGAGATGAAAATTTTCCTCGGTGAGAGATATTTTGTTTACCTGCCATTCCTTTTTGACCGTACCGTGCCATCTCGCCAACGCGTTGCCGGCACACGCGTTTGTGTGCGACGGTGGGTTGTGCGTGCAGCCATCCATGCGCTGTAAGTTTTGATCGCTATGAAGAATTTTTTGACTATACGCGTACCAAACTCAATGGACAAAATCCGAATAGGACGCATCACTCGTTTTTTATAACGTTGTGGAAAAAGGGTCGTGTTGAACGGAAGAATTTCCTTTAAACGACTGCAGTCGGGAGGTGAAGTCTTTAAACATACATTTCAGGAAAAAAATCAATGATGAAGGTGGGAGTTTTAAAAATTAATTCGTTGTTATGCATGGAATTTAGGGGTGTTTACTAATTTGAGGAGACCGCAGCGCAGCGTGTGCATTATAAACGTGTTCGCATGCAGGATCCATCGCTGAATTGAGAAGCTGAAAACGGAATCCTTTTCTAGAATCTCCATGAAACAAAATGCTGGTGTACACATATAAAAAGGAACAAGTTCTTCAACAATCCTTGTATATAATGGAAACGCTGGAGATTAGAACTTTAAATGGAATAATTCCTTATGAACACCCCTCCTTTAACGAATGGAATAGGCTTACAGACCGTTGTGCGCTCATCACGCGCAACCCCCCCCCCGTAAGCTTACCTTTCCGGCGAGTACCTGTTCACCTTCTGGTACCCACGTATTGTTCAGGGAGTCCTCTGTGCGTACCGCATCCCAAATAGTCTCAATCTCTATAAATTTCTCAAATTTACAGGAACACTCTTTATTTCCTGTGGAGCCTCGAACTAGATCCCACCCTGTTTGAGGCAAAGGTGCAGTCCCAAACTGAATGACTGTGAATTTCCCGAGATGGAGCTGACTTTTTTAAGTATAGCTGTGATGAATTTTTTCTGAATCTTTGTACTCTTTTTCAATGTGTGAAAACTCTTTTACATTTATATTGGGTTCAGTGCATTAAAAGGTGCACTATTTATAACTTTTAAAATCATCCATGCTTTCCAAGACAACTGAGAGCGCTGTTGCCGTTTCATCTGAGGAAGACATAATTCGGTGCATAGATTTTTCTGTTCCAATCATCAACCCAGAATTAATTAAATTACTTACTGAAAATATTTCTGAGAATGGGACTGATGCTTGCTTATTAGTATGCACATAATCAACAAGGAGTCAGCAAAAAAAACAAAATTTTATCCAGGACAATCTACAAAAATGTAAAACTTTTTGTGTACAAACCAATGAAACATTGAGACTTTCTTCCCAGGATGACATCACAGTTTTGCACACGAGTATGGAAATACTCGTAAGCAAAACCAAATAGGTAGTTAAATAACCTTTGAAATTGTAAAACTATTAGAAAGTTGAAAATAAGATTAAGACACAAAGGTATACATGTATTTGGAAGGATTGTATTAAAACAAATTGAATGCACCTTCCCTTTAAGCTCACATGACCTCACGTCAGATATAATCTCTGTTTGAGTATTAATAGAAGTGACCCTTTTAAGTAGATTTTTATTTTTCACTTCCAAAAAACCACTATGATAACGGAAGCAAAAATGAAGTCTGGAACTCTTGTGGTGGTGCCACTTGGTAAGGCGCGCGTGTGTTTCACAAAATTGGATACTGGGCCATCGCATTACAGGTTATAACCACGTAAATACGTGAACTGCTGAGATATTGATAGGATAATGGGCCATTAGCACATAGCCCAGAGTTCAGTCAACTGCTGCACATACCGACCTGACTGTGTGGTGTCATGCTCCCGGGTGACTGCACTATTCCCACACAGACACTTTATCTAGTGCTGTACTGATTTGGGGTATTTCTCTGGCTGAATTCTGACCTCTCATTTGGAGTTCCAAGCACTTCGTCCATGCTGATGAAACTGCAATCCAGTTCTAGGCGTTGACATTCTTCCATACGGCTGTTTATTGCGAATATAAGAAATATAGGACGTATCACACCAACAAGCAAAATCAGTCCCCTTGAACTTACTGTACTGCTGCAAGTACAAGTAATTGAACGATTGGTTAAAGAAAGTGGGAGAGCAAATTTATTCATGGAAACTGCCTCTAAGAGGGAAATTCGGTGCTTGGTTCGTTTATTCTCAATCCCCAGCTCTTTTGCTGACGTAAATGCAGGAAAACAACTTGTTGTATGATTTGCCTAATATACTTTAGTGTAACCATTAAGTATACAGTCTTTCTTCGAATTTATTTCTCCCGTGTGGAAACTTGTCTGTTCTTCTGTATAAGTCTCGTTACTCTGTGCGAGTTTGAAAACTTTTGACGGAGAAAGGAACTCTTTTGAGAAAAACGATGCTCAGAGTTGCGATACTTGATTGCACCCAAAACTCTTGAGAATTTACCCCAAACACGGTGGGGGTCAGCCTCAGCATGATGATGTTATGTGTGTGGTGAATGGCGTATTTGGCATGATTATGAAGCGACGAAAGAGAGCAAAAAGAGCAAGAGCAAGACTGCTTTGCTTGTGCTTTGTACACGTATGTTTTGTTTTTGTGGTGCTTGTCATGACAAGCACCCACACTGCCCTCCAAACTCTGGTGTTAAATTAGTGTTATAGCAAAGTTGAGCGCAATCTTGAACCTTGAGCAAATTAATTGTACTCTCTTTTGAGTTGATTGTCTTATGAATGGTCGTTATTTAGGGGCAGATCAACTCAGGATGGAGTGTAATAAATATGCGTAAGTTTCAAGATTGCGCTTAACAGGAACACCTTCGTTATCCATGTTGGGCATGCCTGGATTGGTGTTAGGTTCAAACCACACTTCTGCAGTGGTACGTAGCAATGTGTTCGGCAATAATGGTTGAGACCATTTTGGTGGAGAGGTACCTGCTGGTTTTTCCACTGTATCATAAGTCGAATAGAAAAACAACAGTTTGACATGTACCGATAACCCTTAGTAGTTGCACTGACTATAGCGACCTGTAATGACTAGGATCAACGCGTATTATATAGTAAAATATATAATTGTTAATAGTGTAACAGTTGTGCACTTGTGTCCGTACTGTTATTTTTTCCAAGAAAAATCAGAATTGAAGAAATGAAACTAGTCATATGAATTCCAATTATGCTCCTACCTGTTGAATAAAAGGACGTGTAAAAGTGGGCCAGCCTGTTCAAGTAGCGGGGGTGTAGCCTATGGCCAAAGTACATTAACCTGACGGTGGATATGAGCGAGAAGTGGCTGGTATCAGCCGGTCGTTCCCCTGTTATTCACTCCCAGAGTTTGTCCCTTGAGCCAGCACTGTTTCTATTGCGCGTTTATTTTTTCATCGTTTATCAATGCCAACATACTTAACCACGAGAACAAAAGAACCAACAGTGCCGTACCTGGAATTGACCTTACGCGGCCCAGCTAGCAAGAAGTACACTCACCTAACGGCCTCGGATACTGGGGCTCGTGATGCCAAAATGTAATCAATGAACGTAAAATGATCATTTACTCGGATCTACATTTACAATTTTAAAACAACCATCGAATCTTGTGTGTCAAAATTTGTTTTACTCATTTGTCCAGCTTTCTTCCGAGTTTCGTTGATTCCGTGCTTGGTTGTCTATTTCCTTTTCCTTGTCATTTGGTCGTTGAGAAAGATTCTGCGCGTATCGAAACGGGCGGCCCCATAACCGTTTTTATCTCAAGTTAGATGGTCCATGTACGCGCAACTAAGTTGAGAGAAAACATAACTTAACTGTTACGACTACAAAGTGGTGAATATGCAACAGATGATGGCTGCGGCCAAGCAGCTAGTTTTACTTAGTAATGATCTCTACGCAACCCAATAAGTTCTTACTATTTGGGCAGGTCATCGACCAAAGTACTTTCGTAGAGTTCACACACCTGCACACAAAGTCGGGAGTGCGAGAAACAGTCTGGAGTGAGTAGCAGGGCTGAAACCTACCAATACTGGTCCCTATCGCACACGACACGCAAGATAAGGCAGAAGTACGCTTATTATAGAAAAAGAAAACCTGGCTTGTTGCTTCGGGGTCGCATCCCCTGTTTTTCTTTTGTCAGCAATGGAAGGATATATTCTCGCATTGTGGCGTGGCCTTTAGTGGTACTTTTTCTTGTAAATTTACCTTTGGCTGTTTTGTGAGGCTTTCACGGGCAGAACCTGGGACATATTTCACTGAAAGGGTGATTGATCGGAAGGTTCGGAAGGACGACATTTATGACAATTTCATCAAACCGCAGAGAGGATGGGCGTGTAGGGCCTATTGTGAATATGCCAGTCGCGTGCCATTGTGCCATTGCCCCAGTTTTTTTCTCATGTGTGATTTTTATACCAGTGCATGGATATGTAAGTTAAAGAGTTTGCTCAACCCGCTGAAACTTTAGAAAAGGTCTTGGATCCAATCTCCGAATAAAGAAAAAGTACAATACTTTGAGTTTCACAAATTATCACCCTGATTTACCTGCTGGGCTTCCATGGACATGTTTTACAGAGTGAAAGAGTCATTTTATTTCCTATTTACTGCTCATTCATGGCAATATTAGTGAAGTGCGCTTGTAAGAACATTTTTTCCAAATGCATGACCTCTCAGAACGGTTCCAGAAAGACGCCCCTCTGTCCTCATCAGTGAAATAAGAACCAAAATGTATTACATGTATACACGAACTCAGAAACGTAGGACAAATGCAACCCATCAATTTGCATCTAAATAAAATACTAAAATACTCCATCGAAAAGCTGTTTATTAAAAAAAAGCATGGCATTTGCCATGACCGGAATTCTCTTTAGAGCCAAAGAAGGCCAAGAAGACAAACGCCTGCGTATCTCTCCACTGTGTTAAGACTCACTTCCTCCCTGTTCCCTTGGATGATGAAATCCTTCGGACGACTGCTTTCTTCAACTGTCAGATGAATGATGATAACTTTGACTTAAACCGACTACGAAAGAGTTAGTATGATTGTTAAGTTGGCGATGGGCTTCACTGTCGGTCCATAATTACCACAGCTGAACCATTATCTGCCGGCTTGATGATGACGTCAGTGCGGGAGCGCAGGGAGATTATCATGAGGAGTATGACGAAAGTGATCATCAGGGTTATTCACTTGCGCATGGGTCTCAAGGGCTGGTACACGATTCTTTGGGGGTACCCAGGTGCAAGAAGTTACACCAAAAGTCCTTAATCACAAGTAAAGAGAACATGGATCTTCAAATTGGTATTGATAGTTTCATCCCCTCGATTCTGACCCCACAGGAACATTTTCACAACAGATTCAGAAGGTACCGGATGATATGCGTTCACGTGACCAACTATCCAAAAAAGTTCATAAATTTCTGTCCCCTATTGATTATAGAACCGCTAGGTTTTACCTGCTCCCCAAGATCCACAAGGCAGGTAATCCAGGGAGGCCCATCGTTTACGGAAATGGGTCGCCCACTGAACACATATTATCATTCATTGGCACTTTTCTCAAATCCCTTGTTCCACAAATCCCGTCATAATTAATCCACGCCACGACAGACTTCCTACGTAAGCTGGAAAACATCAAGAACCAGATTCCCAGCGCAGCCATCGTTGGGACCTTTGATGTTTCTTCTCTCAGTACTAACATTCCCCATGAAGAAGGTATCCGCGCCTGCTGCTCTGCTCTCATGAAGAGCGGACACACAACTCCCCCCATCAGTGATGTCGCGACGGTTATGAGACTTGTACTAACCAAGAACAATTATTTCTCCTTCATGGGCAAACACTATCTACATGTACATGGCACAGTTATGGGCACCCGCATGGCTCACTCCTTTGCTTGCCTCTTCATGGGTAACCTTGAAGAGCGCATGCTTACTTCAGCACCATGCCGCCATTGCATCTGGTGGAGATACATTGATGATGTATTTTTCATCTGGACCAGTGACAGTGGCAGTCTAGACATCTTCATTTATTATATCAATTCTTTCCACAGGACAATTAGGTTAACTTCGGAATATTCCCTCCATCAGGCCAACTTTCTCAATGTCAGCATCCGTGAAGGAGAACAACCTCGTGACTACTGGCCTGTATTCCAAGCCCCCATCAGTATGTTCACTCATCCAGCTGTCACTCTAAACTCTGCAAGGCTGGTATTGCATACAGCCAAGCACTCAGGCTGAGACGCATTGGTTCTAATGATTCAGATTTCTCCCGTCATACACAGGAACTGAAGAGTCATTTGATTGCAGCCATCACCAGGTTCAACGCTCTATCAATCGGGCCCGCTCCGTCCCTAGACGTCTTGCGCTCAAGGAGAAGACCCCCCATCCCCAGAAGTCTTGCACTCAAGGAGATGACCCCCCGTGAAGAAACAACCCCCAACAACACATCCCCCTAGAAGTCTGTTTAAGAATTCCTGAGATTCCGGTCAAGCAATGACCAACACAAAGGCGGGGGGTTCTCTCTGTCCCATATCTTGCTTCAAATGGAACATCCAAGAGGGAAACTACTACATGTAATTAACACTCTTTTCTTTCCCTCTCTTTTGTCTGCAGATTATACCCCTCTTCCTCTTGGGGCCCAATTCCATTCACTGTATTTTTTCTTTGATCTCTTCCCACCTTACGTTCCTTTGTTGTTTAACCATGCCTTTCAGGCTGTCTCCTTTGCCCCTTTATCCAGCCTGCAGCTTTCTTGACCTTTCCTTTTGTCCTCTCGCATTCATCCATGCCTGGTTGATTCTCCGTGTGCTTGTTTGTCCTGCCCACTTGTCATTTTGCCTTCGAGAAAGATTTTACTAGGATCGAAACGTCAGACCCTCCATGTTTTGAGATTCTTGCACGAGTGACTACGAAAGAATACCATCTGACTGCCTGAGAGGTTCTGCTGGCTTTTCTCTTACCTGTCGCCATTGCCTTAGTACCGTCTTCAGTTTTTGTCGCTTTTCCACTTTTCAACAGTGCGACGAGCCTGCAAGTTTCTTTGTGGAAGTCCTTACAAGTTTATATAGAGGTATTTGAAGATTTCTTACTATCCAATTACTTCCGCTCATTCGGAAATAACACAAGCCCCCTTGAAAGTCCCTAAACTTACACATTTCCCGTGTAACCACGTGTGTGATTTCCAACTGTGGCCAAGCAAAGGAAAGAGTAATTCCCCACAGTCATATTACTATGTGAATAAACCAGTAGCTACCTCGCCTGATAAAGCAGTACAAGGCCTCACGGCATTGTCACTCGTCCGCTATAGCTGCTTTTGAGTGACCACTCCGTAAACTTGTTCAAAGTCACAATGGCTTGCCACTAACGGCAAAAGGTTATTTATTAGCTGATTGGGGGCACGTGCCCCCCCCCCCAACGGAGGCCCGTGCCCCCGGGTTCCCCCCCCATTAGAAATTTTGAAATGGACATTTACGTCCATTTATCTAGGTAGGCGTTTAGACAGGCACCTAGTTCAATTATTTTCAGCCTGCCCCCTGAAAACAATGTTCACCCCCAGGTGCCCCCTCAGCTGTAGCACCCTAGTTACGCCACTGTTTATCAGTCGCCATCGGCATTTGATTCTGTACCTCGTATAAAGAGCATCCTAATCTACCTCTGCTGACAAGAACTGCACCGGGCCAGCTCAACTGAATGATAACATGGAGGATTATAAGCCCATCAGTATAATATAGGTATGTTCCTCAAAACATTTTTTCGTTCTCATGGAAGCATGTGATGTAACAACAAACGAGCACGAACTTGGAAATTCTTACCCATAATCTCGTTATCTTTTTCGACACTTTTACAAGGTAAAGAATAGGAAAAAATGTTGCATCCTGACTCCACTTCAGCATTTGTGTACAAAGTCTTTGGGGAGTGAAGATAAGTTTTTAAGTATTTCCCAGCAACATCGGCGAATGTTTCTTCGTCCAGAATTTGTCTTTCCAGCATTTCTGTAATGACTGACTTTTATTGAGATGATATATGATGAGAAAAGTGGAGTCAGGATGCAACATTTTTTTCCAGAGAATATTTTTTTAACATAATTGTTTCCAGGAGTGGTTTGCAGTAGAAATTATTCTGCCACAAATTACAGAACACGGTGGGGTGACCCAATCTAAAATCCTCAAAGGCTGGCCGCGTGAGGGTTCCGGATGCTCGCCGCGTGACCTTTTCACTTTCCGGTTCTATTCCCTCTAGCGACATTTAATCCGAACTTCAGACCAGTCAACTGAACAAACTGGAGGACACCCGAATTTGATGGAGTAATCTGAGGCTAACTATATTTTAGATTTGATGTTCCCCATCAACCCCTCGCTCCCCATTTCAAAACATGCTCATGCTATTCTTGGTCTGCACCTCCTCCTTGCCAGTCAGTCTGGACCCTAAACCCGTGGTGTCGTGGATGAACCTTTCTACGTGTGTTTTTCAAATTCCAGAGTTTAGTCAGTACATAAAGAAAAGTACACTTCAACTCAGGTTCATTCTCTCAACCCTCAAAAAGTACTTCACCAATAAAAGATAAGACCTATATTTGCCTATCGATGCTTAACAGGGGATTGTGTTTACACTGACCACAGTTCATCCATAGCTGTTCACCTCTTATCTAACTTCAAGGGGTACGTACTTTCTGACCTAACATCAATCCCTAAATAGAATACACGCACATAATATGGGGTGCCCTTTATGACTTTATTAATAAAAAAAAATCTAACGAAAATAATATAATAATATAGGTTTTCCTGGCCAATGTCGGAAAATGCGCTATTTCATTCGTAAAACAAAAAGTCTATTTAAAAAATTAAATAACGCTTGCTAACAGGAAGTGCTGACCTCCCGGTCACAGATCGTGCACAATATAGCCAGTCAGGGTG